CTCCACTTCGAATTTGGGCCCTAATGATAGGCGCTAAGGTCGTTCAAATCGTTACGAACTTCGCCGCGCAATTTGCCGCGCGCATCCTCAGACGCATTGAGTTTTTAAGCTTGTAAACAGCACTTTAAATTCTATCGATATACCTATGTCTCTATGCAAGGTTCCATGGAAAGTTGAAAACCTTGCTGGCAAGTTTACATTTCCACCCAGAACTAGATAATCAACATGTGAAACTGCAGGCTTAGATTTTTAGGCAGCTTTATTGAAGGAAAGCTAATGTTCCATAGTGTTTTAACGAGACTCCACGAAGAAGGCTCTCGTAAGCTACTATAAGCCTCAACACAATAAAACTCGCCAAATCATGAGTAGAGCAGGTTTTGTTCTTGCAAAAGGATGCTGCCAGATTTTTCAGGAGGCGAAATGAAACGACTCGCGTTCGCGTCGGAGATGCTCAGCAATCCACCGATTTTGTTTTGCGATGAGCCGACCAGTGGATTGGACTCCTACATGGCCGAACTCGTTGTCACAGTAATTTACCATTTAAAGATATGCTTCAGCGCTGCTGCTCCTTGCGTTGATAAGATCCTGTTTTTGTGTTGGATTTTTAAGAACAGTTTGACTTGCTTAAATGATTGTGGGTCAGTTATCAGGCTACAATAGAATGAATTTCTTTATTGGTAGGAGTCAAACCACGTTCTCCCGCACAATCAGGCTGTCAAACCTTAAGAAGGCCCTAGTTTGTATACTGAATGGTAGTCTGTGCTACTTGCAACTTGTAGATTTCTGCAATGGAAGTCCCAGCCCATGGAACAGTCTACATTTCCACTAACACAAAGTCTGATCTTATTAACTTTTACTGTAAGGTCGAATCATCGGGAAGTGGGTGCTTCCCGACATCAACCTATTCATAAGTATTATATTTTTTTCTTCCTCGAAAATTCGACCAGATCAGATGTACTACCTGCCAATGGAACTAGAACAGATGCGATAGGGATGGAGGCTATGCAAGCAGACAAAATGGCTATTAGACGAGCAAATCATTCACATGACGGATAACACAGAATAGTCGTACTGCCGCTCTTCTCTTCATCCATGCGATGTTCTCGTTTTGCCTGAAGAATCCGTGCGACCATTCATTTTCAACTTTTAATTTTGATGTCACAGAGATTGGAGTCGCTAGCTGGTGATCGAGGAAAGACGATTATTTGCACGATCAAACAACCATCGTCAGAAGTTTTCAGATTATTTGACAAGGTCCGGTTGGAGTCGTTCAACAATGCTCACTACAACTCTTGCAATTTCAGGTGGTATTTCTCGCTGAGGGCCGAGTGGCCTTTCACGGTGCCCCAGATGAAGCGGTTACATTCTTTGCAAAATGTGGATTCATGCTCCCGGATCACACAAACCCAGCGGATCATTTCACAGATGTAATGCTACTTACAAACTTGACCCGCGAATCTCACATGAGTCCTAGTACTGAATTGATTGCGTCCAAAGAGTTCAATACGCAAATTCCCATCGGCATTAATGTGACGGGAACTCTTGTTCGCTCATGAGTCACTCGAGTGAATGAACATAGTAACCCAAAGAACAAATCAGCTTTTAGGGATGTAAAATTCACTGGAAAAATTACAGGTTTTGGCTATATGGCCGGGCAAGGAGGAAGAGTGCAAGGAGAGAGCGAATAGGATTTGCGAAGAGGTATTGTATTCCTTTTTCCAGTAGGAAAGGGATTTCAGTCTCGAGGAGTCTTTCTATTGTTTTTTTGCAGTATGCTAACTCACACTATGCTAAAGAACTAGAATCGTTGATGAAGGCCGCTGAGGAACCCCGATCGCTAAGACCTCATCGCGGGCCTGGCTTGTTTCGACTCATCAGTGCACTATTCGTGAGGTGTTTATTTTCCTACGTTAATTTTTTTCACTACCGAACTTCTAATGATCACCTCTTCTGCACATTTGCATGGGAAACAGGTAGAAGAAACATGTCTTTCGAAAATCTGCTATAGCTGTTGGGACGGACTATTGGGAAGGGACTGGGTTGGCTTTGTTAGTGAAAATGTATTACGTGATTAGTGAAGCATGCCATTTTGAAGAGTGATAAAAGGTGGTGGGAGTTTGTAAATGATTGATGAGAGAAGCTGTCGAAAGCGACGAGGACCGGGAAAATGTCATAGAAGGCAATGACCACTGAGTCGATTTTGCCCTTCAGGTTAATAATGGAAATTTGACACTGCTAAGAACGATGTGGGATTTATCTGATCGTGGATGGTCGATGACAGTGTCCTACAACAAATGGAATTGCTCTGGGATCACTTCCTCCTTTCATATGATAGCAAAGTATTGCTACTTCAGTGTGTGATTAGGATGACAAAATCGAAGAAAACGGGGCAACAAAATGATAACAGGTGATTGATCCTGGTAAGGGCTCTTAAAAGATTTTAGTAGCGTAATCCTTCTTGTGTATGCGATGGTTTCTTAACATGTTGAGGTTTTATAGAGCAAAGCGGGATGAGGGAGTAGGTGGATAAGAAATGGGGAATCATTGCAGGGATCAGGAGCGATCAATTCTGGTTGTACCACAGAGTTTGCTTTCTCCCTTGCTTATTAGATTACGATGACTACGCCTTATGGTCGCCGATTCCATAAGGGAACATCAACTAATCAGTTTCAAAATTATTTCCCACAAAACCTACCGACCATCATACCTGAGAATCTTAACCAATGATTTTTATGCACAAAACTAGCAGGAGTTGTGTTCAAGACTCTTGATTGTTGTGTTATCATTGACAACATGAATAAGTCGACGTTAGAAGCTTAGGTCAGTTAACCAAGTCACTTGATTGCCAAGACCAGTAGAACCAATGAGAGGAAGGATTATAAATATTATTAGTATCGGAGGAAGCAGATGAAGCTCCGGTGAGAACGGAGTAAATGTTACACAGTACATAATATATAATAGTAAGTGGGGACGTTACCGCTATAACAACACAGAATAATGGTGAATAATAGTTTATATGCCGAATAACCTACGTCTCGCCCTTGACGCTGTTAGAGGAAGAAGTGCGGACCCACTTGTCTCCGGTTCGCTTGACCTCGCACCATTTAGGAGCGTGGTTAAGTTAGGGCGTCGTTTCTTAGAGGGGGACGGCGAAGTAGTTGTAAGACACCGCCGTCGTAAAGGACGCTCTACGGAAGTATCATTAGTTGAGAACCTCAGATTACTGTGATCGCATAAGTTTTGTAGCATATAGAAACAGATTGTAACCGTGATTCTTCATAAATTCGTTAACATTGTTGGATAGTGATCGTAATCTAATAGCAAAGAATTAACCAAAGATCCATTTCCGTAAAATATGGTGCCTTTGATCGGTCCCTATCACTGCAAAACGCCGTCTTATCGAATGAAACATATCAAAGAGTCGAAGCTAGATAGTGTCTACCGTAACGTTAAAGCCCAATCGGAATGTAGCCTCTCTAATACCTTCTGTCAGATTTTATCAATTCCTGTCGCCGAGTATAGTCACGATCCCCTCGCATTCTACATCACCTATTGAAAAGAAATGACTCTATGGTCAAAACGAAGGACATTACAGACCTAGTAGCCATCCTCTTCTTTGGCTCGTTATCATTTCCTATTAGTTAATTCAATCCTTGTCACCGCTTAGTCACGAACCTTCAAACCCCACATCACCTACTGAAGTGCCAAAGTTCACCAGTAACACGAACACAATAACGAATCCTGCGAATCTTGTCATTTAAGGCTCCTCATCACCCCTATCAAGTGCTATCACTTCCTATCACCAACCGCCACTGTACGATTTCTGCTGCCTGTATAACTTCCAAATTCAGAAGCTCTAGGTCCAGTGGTCAGGAGGGATGGATTTTCGGTCAACCACACCGAAACACACGCGCACACGAACACTGATAAGAGATATACTGTCCCGACTGTCAAGAGATATACTTAGCGAAATTTATATAGAGGATATTCAACAAACAAGTAAACAAGCACTTATGCAGTCACGGAGAGTAGCGACAATCCAAGAGACATTCAGCGAATTTCATATTCTATGATGGATTCTCGACTGTCTTAGCTCCAATTTGATGAATCGAGTCGTTTAGTTGGTTTTGCTTACGCAGCTTCGACTATAGTTGTACAAGGAGTCGACTTCGAGCAGCTACACCACATTTGACATTTTTGTTATACGTCTGAAAAGGAAAGCGCTGCTCATGCTTCGAAGAGTTGCAGATGTCCAACGAACGCTTTGCGAAAAGGCAGCTTCGCAGTAATTCGTTGGGTTTTCATGTTGTTGGGACTCTTTTGAGAGTGGAAGCCAGCAAAAAGACATTATGCTAAAACTGAATAGCTGAAATCAAGCTCACCTCATGGCGATTACCAGCATCAGATACCCATCTGATGAAATAGTGACCGTAATCAAGCTGTAGTTGAGGCGTGTATCGGCTATACGCCTGTTTGATGAAAAGGACACAAATCCCTCCTCAACTGAACATAGGAAGAGATTGCCTTCCCTCCTATCACTCAGTCAGTAACTTGGGTCAGGTTAACTTCACGGAAGTGCGGTGATGAAAGTGGTGTAAAAAACCCGATGTTGAGAGGGTCGGAACGACTTCACGGATAGAAAATATAATCAACTACCGATATCGTTGCCCGGAAGCGGAAAGTCGTAGTTCACCAGTTTCTTCTCCGCTGGAGAGACACGAGGCAGTCCCGGTACTAGCTCTACGGTCATCGGAGGACTACATGAGCTCTCAGACCTACTCGATATTCGATCCTCGGAGTGATCGAAGGCGTTCTTAATCTTCTTGCAGAGAATTCCTTCGGAACGGATGGGATCCTCCTTTGCACGTGTATCAGGGAATTTTGAGCGTCTACCTTTCAACAACGCGTCAAGGCAGGGAAGATTGCGGTATCGAAAAGATGCGCATTACGAAGTTACACTGAGCCGGGTCCCTTTCCCCTCTTCTTTACGCTTTCTTGGTGCCACAAGACTATGATTTTAAATATCGTTTCTAACTCGAACTCAAGAAATGGACCATCAGTTTGACCATTCAATTTGACCTCAAATGATTTGACTCAATTTGACCATCAGTGACGACGAAAGAGATCTGCGGTGGTTGCCGAATACAAGATCTCGTAAAAAAATTAGCTAACAGGGTAGAAGATTTTAAGGGTGAAGCGGTATTCGGGCGAGATTTCAGTCGTGTGCAGTTGCGTAGAAACATGGCTACAATGCTCCTGCCATTAAAAAGTGCTCTCCAAAATGTTGAGTGCAAGTGGGTAGGAGTCGTAAATGACCGTCTCAGTTTCTTCTCGAAACGCAGTAACTGTTCCGTTCAACGCCGAAAGTGATCCATCTTCACCTTGTAGCAGGTCTCTTGGGGGAGGGGGGGGGGGGGGGGGAAAA